CATCCGCTCTGAGTGCCTCTCCCACCTGTGCAGGAGCACAACGGAGCCTTGTTGTGTTTGTGCCCCAGCTGTCCACTGGGAGCCAACAAACATGTAAAGGAAGCAAAGTATCTTTAGTAGTTGCAGAAAACGAAGGAAGTTTAGATGGTTTTCTTGGACTTGATCTTAGTGGGAGACACAGGTGAGATACTGTTTAATTCGTTACAGAATAACTGGTGTAGAAATTCTTGTAAAGCCTTCAAAGTCATACAGTGCTCATGTCTGCCTCCACTTGTTCCTATTCTTCTCAGTATAGAAATATTTTTTTTCATGTAGCAAAAGCCTCTGAGTAATTTAATGGGTTAAAGGAAACTTCCACTTGCAGATTACCCTGCATGTGCAGGGGGGTTGGACTAGATGACCTCTAGAGGTCCCTTCCAACCTTAAGCATTCTATGATTCTGAAGTGGACAACGTCACTGTTTCAGGTGAGAGGATTGATACTAGTATTTCTGGATGAATTATTACTATCCCATTTACAAGATGTATGTAGCTAGGAAGAATACACAAAATCTTATTAACAAGACTGATACTTAAAACTGTTGGTCCATGACTTGACACTCAAGTAACTCTTTCCTATTGGATCCTATTAGATCTGTTGGTAAATACAGACCTACCTGTTCTGCTCTTTTACGTATGGGCTTGATTGTAAAATCCCTTTAATGATACTTAAGCTGGAGTAAAGGATAAGGTGCTGGCTTGTTTTCTTCTCCAGTATTGGAGCTGTGTTTTTAAATAGTGTTTATTTGCAGCCCTGAAGTTGGTGTAACATGCTTAATGACCCTGAGAATTTTCTCCCTGGGGTAAGTACCAAGCCCTGGCTTACAATATGTGGGCTGAAAATCCTTGAACCTACTGAAGTAAGGTTTTGTGTGTATGTACAAGTCTAGCATTAGAACATGTGTTTCAGCGCCTTCCCCTAATTGCAGGCATGGTAAATATGTTTCGTTCCTGCTTAGCGGTACTCCATCAAGTCCATGTGCTTTTCGCTGCTGAGTTGTTTCTGGGCTCCTTCCCAGACCTTGTATCGTTAAACATCTTAAGCAGTATAAAACCATCGTGCCAAGCAGAGAGCGAGCTCTCTACAACATATAATGATAAAAATGCAGTCATGACTTAATTATAAAAAAAAATTTACTGGTTAAATACATTTTTAATTTACAGTGGTACCATAACAAACATAATGGACTTGCAGAGCTTTACTTAGGACACTTACTTGCACGCGAAACAGTTTTCCTCCTGAAGGCATTTCCAGGTGTTGGGTCAAACCATAGAAGCCTGTATCAGAGCCACCTCTATCATAGCAATGTATGGGGCCTTGCTGAATTTCAAGGAATATCTCAGATTTGCTGCTATGCTGCAGTTACCATTCGTGACCTCGTTTCTAGTTTTCTATAAATTAGGTAGCATATGCTTTCTGTAAGAGCCAAGTAGTTAACTTCCTTGCATTTAAACAAAAAATAATGGATTTTAGCCGCCTGCAGTGATGCAGGCAGCCCTCAGATGTCACGCTCTGCTCCCACCGTCAGCTTTGCTGCTCTCCTAGCCCTGCAGACGGAGGAGAGGATTGAATAAATTGAATTGATTAAAGCAGAGTGGCTGATCTACGGCCAGGCACAGACCTTCAACACCTAACTTAAGTCACAAAAGCAACTCAGCGATAGACAATTATAAAAATAGGGGGAGAGGAAATTGAAAAAAATACAAAAAAATATTTCTACTGTAAGGCTTGTATCAAAATTTAAAAAAACTGCCAGACAAAAAGTAAGTAAACATCGTACGCTTAACTCTCACCTACCTACCTACCTCCACCCTGGTTACATGGGACCTTTGGGAGACCTGGGAATCCTGTTCTTTAACTTTTGTCCTCCACCTTCCGAGCTCGCAAGCGGGTTCGGGAGGGGCCTTGGCAGGGCTCTTGAAGCAGGAGCGTGCGGAGGAGCTACTGGAAGTCTGGCTGAGCAGGCTGGGAGGGCTTGTGGCAGCCAGCAGTGTGCTCACCCGGAGTCCTTCCGAAGGAAACGGATGTTATCTCTGAGTAACGGCAGGAACCTTTGGACTTTCCTGACAGGAAGGCTTGACAGCGATCCTCCAATGTGGATGCGGGTTTCAGTTTCCTTCCATGGGAGCTCAGTCCAGACTCTGGTAAGGTGGAGCAGTAATTGCTGGATATGCTGCTGTCTTTCCAGCTTTCTGAAATAGCACAGGGTGATCCTCATCCCCCCGTTAGGGGAACAAGCACTGATGTACTGTAAAGGTGTAATGTTTGGCATGTCTGCGTTCCATTCCTGTAGTTCAAATCACACTGACTTTTACTAAACTATTTTGCTAAAACTTCTTGAAGTAACTTTTTCCAAGCTCTGTCTTTTTTGTGATGGTGGTGAGGGTTTTTTGATTATTTTTTCCCCTTATGGCCCTGATGGGTCCAGTCCTTTACACTGATGTTCAGTATAGCGGTAACAAAGTGCAAACTAATCCCTGTGGCTGCTGAAAGCTGAAGCGGAGGCTGTTTCACGGATCAGAACAGCATCTCTGAGGAATGTTCCAGTGCTCGGGAGCGACACAGGCCGCGGGAGCGACGAGCGGCTCTCCCCCCGTGCACGGGCTGAAGAGCCACCGTGGAGACAAGCGCTGGGGCAGCGTGTGAGGGGCTGCTCAGCCGGGCTTTGAGAACAGTAAATACCAGAAATAAGAAAAACCTGCAACTGCAAGTGGGTGCAGGGGGGTGGGAAGAAAGGGTTAGGAGATGATCGGTGTTGGTTTGAATGCTATCAAGGGGCAAAATGCTTAAATTTTACTTTCCTGATTTCCCTCAGTATGAACAGTTCTGCTCTAAGAACAGAACAGCACCCACAGGACTCGCTTCTGAGTTTTCCTCTATAATTATTAATTTGATAATTTTCTACTGAGATAATTTATCTGTCTTATCCTCCAAGTCATAAAACAAGTGGATTCCACTTCAATGCGGAAGTTGAGCAATAATAAAACCAGAATATCAAACCTGATTTACCTACTGAATGCTGTAATTGTATCTTAAAGATTACTTTTTCATTTAGATTTAAAAATTTTCTTAAAGAAGCCCGAAGAAGCTTACTTTATGCAGACTTTATACATGGTAAATGTACTAGTAGACAGTAAACATAGTAGAACGTTAAGAACAAGAATTTAAGTTAAAATGGTACTTCACTATACTTCCTAAACTGGAATCTGCTAACAATCCTCCTTTTATTTGCTCTCCCAGTGTTCATGAAGCATGAGGCTAAATACACAGTCACAACAGACTACACTTTTCTTACTTGACTTCAAGATACTGGTATGACTGTCTAGAAAAGTAGTGCAAAAGATGTTGATAGTCAAAAAAGAGGCAATGTCTTTGCTCGCTGTGCCTTTGGGATGGAAAACATTCTCCTCCCCACGCAGGGAGCACGAGGGCAGGCAACACTTCATGGTGTTCTTAAAATTCGCACATAGTTTTTGGGGAATATCCCCGATTTTCCTTGCATCTCTCCACTCATCCAGTCCTCATCCACGGCTTCCAGCTCCGTTATCGTGTCGCCCGCCTGCAAGAGAACAGGTGACGTGAGCCTGGGCAGGTTACTGTAAAATGGTAACGCATGCACAGCTGACACTATTCAGAAGACAAACAGGACAAGGTCAGTCTTTCTTCCCCAGTAGTTAGACCTCTTTGGGACTATATTTGCCAAAAATGGTTGCAACTTCTACTCAGGTAGAAGGTGCTTACCTCAGTAGGCACCTGTCATCTGTTGGAAAGTCACCCTTTTTTGGAAAGGAAAAATAGTTCCACTGGGTAACTTCAGGTGCTGCTGAAGCACTTTAGGTAGGCAAGTCAGCTGACCTACAGGCTGCTGCCTTATGCTCATTGCTGCTTTATTAAAGGGTTTCTTTAAATACTTCAAAGCTTTTCATTCAACTTCTTTTTCTAGCACTTGGAAGCTTTTCTCTCAGTAGAAGTTCCCTAAAGGTAGGCAACAGTGTAAGCTCAGTCTGTTTTTTCAAAAAACTCCAGATCTTGTTTGATCTTGGTTTTAGTTTTATCTTCTCCTGTCTCACTCTTCATCTGAGGTACTGTCCTAGCCCCTGCCTTTCTTCCAGTACCTCCCTTCCCCTTTTCCTCTTTGAAGAATCACCTGTCTTTTCAGCGTTGTGAACTCCTGATGCAGAAACGAATTATTTTGCCTGCCTTAAGAATACATTCTTGCTAATAAGTGCTCTTTTGGACCTGCTCTGAAGGTTTGCTGCTTCTCAGACACTTGCTTTTGGGGATACCGATACGGAAGTCCTGACCGTGGAGGTAAAACGGCACGCTGTTTCTCCTTCATGCTCCTTGCACGTTAGCCAAGTATCCAGCAAGAACTGCCCCTGGGGTGTGTGTGTATCCTGCTGCAAACCCTGCTGGAGGCCGAGGCCTCCTGTGCTCCCTTGGAGCTGTCTGATGCTGCTGCTCATGCTCTTATCGCACCTTCTCTGCTGCCTTTTTAATTAAACAAGAGGTTCCTTTAACTGCATCAACTGATCAAGAACTGGATACAGCTGCTCTGCAGAAGGAGGATGTTTTTTGCTCTGTCAAGTTGCTGGAAGAGCTAGAATAGTTAGGTCAGAAGATGACTTTGATTCCTGTCCTCTTTTTTCCCCACAGTCCTTTCCTGTTTCACATGGGTGAAATCTTTGAAAGTTTGGTAAGGTGAAACCTTGCAGAGAGGCTGCCTACCAAATGTGTTAGTATTTAGTTCTCCTTTTTGCTCATTCTAAGTATATTTTTAATACATATAAATCCCTTTTAAGGATTTTTTCCTTATGAATGAAGGTTTTAAAAAAGGGTTGAGATTACTTGCTTTGAATGAAAGCTCATCTTCATTTTCTCCATGAAAGTCGTAAAGAGCTTTGGCTTTTCCTTTCTTCCCTCCTCGTGACTGTGACTCGACCCTGGCTGAAGGAGATGGACAACACAAATTATTTGGATTGCAGTGAGCTAGATCTTTGTTTCTGGAGAGGTTTCCTGTCCCTCTTGTGATCTCTTCCCCAGTACAGTGCCCTATGCTGGTAATTAGCAAAGAGCTACAATTCATGTGCGCTGCAGGTGGGTGTTACTCCATCTTTGCTTTCACTGAGGGCTTAACTTGAGAAGCACAGAAGATAAATGTGATTGTTTCGAGTCCTCTGTGAAGACTACGACCACATGGGGATGCTTATCCCACTAGGGATAAGTATCTTATATAAATACCTTACTGTCGCAACCTAAGAAGTAATGATCTGTCTTCTAGTAGGAGCAGGAGCACTGTACCTGAGAAGGTCTGAACAAAAACTGCTGGGAAAATCCCTTCCTTCTCATTCAGTCTTCCTCTGTACCACTCTGCATCTACTTGTTCCAGTATTTGGATGCAGTCTCCCTTTTTAAAGGATAAGTCATCTTTGGTTTCTGCTGTAAAATCATGTAGTGCTTCACACCACTCTACTGAATGTCTGTTGTTCTATTCAAGTGAACAGAAAGAGAGGAAAAAAAATTAATTTCCTAGTGGTAATGGAGCCCAGCAGGTCAGCACTTCTGATGAAAGAGAGGTAGAGACTTGGGTCTCCTGACTCCTCCTTCATACGATACTCACTGTGCATGTAGATTAGAACAGCATTTCAGTAATTACCACAGGCCTTTGCCTATGAACATTCCTTTTTATCATTAATAAGAATTAATTAATAGGATTAGTAAAAAAATTCAAAATTAATCTACTGCAACAATACTTAGAACAAAATAGAGATAATGAGATTGTGCACTTTTTCGATCAAAAATACTTATTTTGCAAGAAGCTATGAATTTATCAATTTAGACCTACTGTCAAATTTCTGTATGTTACTGCAACCTTATGCAACTGTTCAAGTCATGTTAAATTTGCAATTTCAAGCTGTGCAGCAAGCGGGACATGGCAACAGGAGGCTTGAGCAAGCCTATGGAAGATCTACACCAAGTCTGGCCCAGCCTATAAAAATCTTTTACCTGAGGAAGGGAAGAGGAACCTTCCACCTTGCTCTTCAGCGATGCTCCTGTACCTGTGGAGCAAAGGGCAGCTTAGTATAGATGCAGTGACTTTCAAAATGTTACTAAAATGATGGAAATGTTAAATATTTCAAGTGATGATAAAGAACTACTCTTAAATCCTCCTCTTTCTTATCTGTCCTCTCTCTTCTCTCTTTTTTGCATTTTCCTTCTGAACTTTTATCCCATATCCTTTCACGCTGCCTGTGTGTATGCAGTGCCAAGCTATGTGCTTGAGGAAGATAGTTGCAGAGTTGCTAACATATTCATACCTGTTTCAGGAAGGTCTTCTATTACTTCCACAAAATTCAAGGGGAAAATTCCAGATGTGCCTCTGAGCTCTCCCTTGGCCCATTCTTCATTTACGTATTCTCTAAGGATGATGGTTTCACCTTCTGAAAAACTGAGCTCATCTTTCTGGTCTCCAATATACTCAAACCGGGCAACACATCTTGGACCTCTGTACAAACATGAAAAGTTGTATTTACTATTATTGTCCACTTATTACTAAGAAGGCAACATTATGCAAAAAATGACTGGTATTTTTTCATTAAAGAAGGAAAGAATGCACTAAAGACAGAACAGGTAGAAAACTGGAGTCTAACTTTGGCTACCTGTATTCTCCAAGGAGGCTGAAGTTCAAAGGGGCTGGACCAGTACCTGCTTCTTGCACTCAGTTCCTGGTTGTTGCAGAATTTTGCTTTATTTCTCTTCCAAAGGTAGCAAGAAAAATATCTTGAGTCTGGGCTACATGTCTAATTTTTTATTTTTGCCTGTATCCAAGTATCCCAAGTTCCAAATCTATGGAGGGTTCATTTCAGAGGGGGGAGGACTTTTTTTTAGATACTTCTTGACAGACTTTATTCTGTACAATTC